CCATAGCCTAACTTTCTTACGGCAAGACTGAACCTTTGTTTCTGTTCAAGGCATTTTCCCATAAGCCATGCACTTGGACTTGTGTGAAAATGGAGCAATTGAGTACTGTTTGTGCTTTGTCTCGCTACTTTGCAACTATGTTTAATTTAAATTTAAAAAATCCTTCTATCTGCCACTGGCTCTCAATTTATCAAGAAAATGGCATTGTAGAAAGGAGAAGACCACTATCAAATGTAACGGTGTGAGCTATGAAGGATTAAGCTGACAAAACTATTGAAACAAAAACATCTCCTCTGTCTACCAATATGATAGAAAGTTGTGAGCATTTCCTTCTTCGCCCAAGCTCTATTCCTTCCCAAGATTTCATAATAGAGGGAAAATGGTGCCTCTGTGCTATTCAAAATGAAATTCTCACCTCTTCACTTTCGCCCCTTCAGCGACGTGGCCTCTGGGCCAAGCTAGAAGCACTCTCTCATCTATGCCTGTTCATTCTTACCACCATGTCTTACCAGGCGGTGGTGAAAGGAGGTCAGCCACTGTGATGCTTTCAATCCGTCTACAGCAGTGGTTTCACCTTTACTATGCGGAATTCCATGGTGTATGGTCTGACACGGGGAATGAACAAGAGAACTTCGCTTCGTTGATTTTGAGGCGTGACACCTGTAAGAAGTTAACTGTACGATGTGAATTTCAGTGAGTCAATCACTTTGAATCTTACAAATGTAAGATAACCCTTGTTATAAGGTAGGTGTTCATCCTTATCACGGATTGGGTCATCATCGTGGAAGGGTGCTCGGTGCGATCTGTCCAGATGCTGTCGTCTTGAACAGCATCGTTTGCCAGTGCCAGAGAGTAGGGTGCCGCTGCACTTTCACTTGCTCGATTCCGTTGCCAGGTCTCAACCGTTGCACGAGGCCCTTCCATCCTTCCATTCCACTCTGCTGAGTAGGAAGCTAAATTCGACGGTTCGCTCGCTCCATAGTGATGCAGGTGGAATTGGAAGCGCTATCACACGCACCCAGATGCCCCGCATCTCCGTTTGAGGAAGGATACAATTATCCAACATTCGATGGCAGTAAAAGAAGTGAACGTTGTGCTTCATCTTCATTGCCAAAAGTCGCGCTCTTCTATTAGCCGATGGAAATTATCAAACGACACAGACAAATCCAGGAGCTAAACCACTTCTCCCCTCATTGCCAACGAGGCCGTTCAACACCTTTCATGTAGAGAGGGCAACTCGGACAGGCAATGTGCACCCCCAGACGCCTCATCGCATAACACTGCATCGAAATTTTTCACTACCAAACAAGAGGATGTTTTTCCCGTTGTGGACACTACTTTGCGCCTAACTTTTCAACCACGATGCGGAATAAGGTGCCTGGTATTTTGGAATCGCCGGCCTGAGCCTATGCGATGCAGAAATCAAAGCAATCCAGTTGAAATTCCTAGCCCATGCGTGTAATTCATTCATAGTCACTTAGGTCCAAGCTATGCACTGCATACTGCTCCCAAGCTGGAACGGAATGCATCTCAATTTTCCGCCCAAGTTGGTCTCAGTGCATCAACACAAACCAGTTCAGGAGTAAACCTGTCGATGCACAGCTCCCATCCCCATCTATTCAGCATTCATACATTCAAAAGTCCTCCGAACTATCAGCCTTTCAAAATGGAATCCCAGTTACTGAAAGTGCTATGTTCGCATTGGCTCTAGACGCCATTGCGAAGGTGAAATAGTATGGTTGATTCGTGTTTGTGGAGGCGTGAATGTTCCTTACACTTTCGCTTGGTGTATGGGTTTTGCTTTTACTCGCTTTGCATACTGTGGATGTCCTTGATCTTGAAAACGGAGTGATGCAGCTTACAAGCCCTACTCCCCTACCATGCTTTTCACTTACATGTGGCGCGAAAAACAAGCAGTTCCCTCACAAGAGTAGAAAGTACTATCTCCTTCTCACCCTTCACGCCCCCCAAGCCGACGCTCCGCCAATTTATAATTATCAACTTTCCTTGACGATGGGCAGATGGGTGCATGCAGAATCTCGAGAAATGGAGGGAAAATAAGGACTATACGTAACTAGACGACTCGTTGTCAAGAGCAAAACACTTTGTCAAGCTAAAATTTGCACGATAGAGTACCACCATAGGAGCCAGACATCTTTCAGTAGGTGTTGAAAGCATCCCTGACTTCGGAGTCGGAAAGTGTACCCTGAGCCGGATTACTTGTGGAGGCACGTAACGCAAGAGAGGTGGACACGAAGTTTCATTAGATGTTGTGCAGAGACCCTCGCCCAAATGATGTCTACAGCGCTGGTCACTACAATCCATACTTCACGTCAGTCAGACGCAACCACAATTAAGATTGTATATAAGGTCGAGGACAGCCACCAGGAGGTTACACGAATTCGTTGTTCCCAACGCAACATCAGTCTCTCCAACCTCAATTTATGCTTTCAAGAACCGACTACTTGACTAGTTTCTCGATCGCGATCAAACTCTATAGTCAGCAGTTAAGCTTACCAGAGTGATTTGTTAGGCCAGTTCTAAAAAGAACACAAATTTGCGTCTACATACCCGTTACAACGAATGTCAGGGTAGCGTAATGCAATACAGCTATCACCATTGCTACTGACAAATTAAAAGTAAAGTTGATCGTCCATGCCAGCACTTTAGTAAAGTTTGCAGTGTGGAACCTACCTTGACAGCGAACAACCTAACCCCAAATATCCAAATCACCAGTGGATATCAAAATGGAACTGCTCTAGACAAAAGTTACAGAAGCAAATCATCGAAGATGAAAAGTGACATCGTCAAAATGACCTAATCAGTGCTTGATTTGCCCGAATTGACTTCCATGGCTCGCAAGCATCGAGAAGCCGTTGCGCAGAGCTGATCCACAAGATCTTTCTTCGCTAACTCTGATACTACCGACTTGTCCCCACCACGCCTTGCTCCTTTCATAACCAACTCTGCCAGTTCAGTCAGTTGTTCGCCAGCTTTTGCTGCACGCAGTTCATTTACAGCCGCGGCATAATTAACATAACTTTTGGTGGGTGATGAAAGCATGCTTGAGATCCAGGCTGAAAGACGAGGCACAAGTTTGCCGTGAACAGGAAGAGGCCAACCAGCCAGACACTGACCAAATAGCGCCGCTCCAGCTAGACTTACGCAGGCCAAGTAATTTTCCCCCCCTGCCTTCGCTGCATCAATCATCTGTTGTTCGGTTTTTCTAGCGATTTCGAACGCCAATAAGCGATCCTGTCGATTGCGTTTCCCACTTCCACCACGAAGTAAGGATACGGAGAGATTAATGCCGAGATGAAAGTGAGCCAGATCATCACACAGTGAGAGTATTTCGTCTAGGGAAAGACTTTCTACCGAAACAGAGTGTTCAGGGTTGGCGCGGAGGCATGCATTGATGCTTTGAACCAGTAAAGAGGCCTCTTTCATGGGCCCATCCCCCATCGTGCCGAGGAGATCCGCGAGTGCGTCACGATGTTGAGGTGTTATATTCCCAGGGTTCAGCTCAATAGAATGCCCGATAGATACTTCCTCATCGTCACATTTCTTTTGCTCTTCCTCCTTGCCCTTATCAGACGATATATTATTCGCAGTTAAGTTGGGCCAACCAATATCGTAGTTTAGAGCAAGCAGAACGTAGAGCCGATTGACAAGGGTAGAAACTTCACTACGGATAAGTTGACGAAACAGTTGAATGCGAAGCTGGACATCATCAACCGCCAGACTACCGCGTTCTAAGAGCTTGAGGGCGAGGAAGAAAAATCGAATAGTCGGAGACAGTAAGAAAGAATAATGAAAAAAGTCCATGTTAACCTACTTGAATACCCAAAATAGTTGAGATTAGAGAATCCTTTTCAGCAAGACACCTATCGCGACTTTTCGACGAGTCCGAAGTCTGAAAATAAACTGATTTTACAAGAGATAAAAAGTTTTCATGAATCTTCGGCAGCAATTTTTCCAGAAGTCCCTCAACTAAATCTTCAGGGGCGTCAATGCCAACGCTAGCTCTCAAGAGGGAGAGTAACTCATCTTGAGGAAGATATGATTCGATACAGATTTCAACTGGATCTTCCTCGTCCTCAGAGCCCACAGTCCTTTTGAGATACTTCTTTTTTACATGCTTTGTCTTGATTTCACGTGAGCGACCACTGAAACCCCCCGATTTCCCCCTCTTTTCCAGTCCTCTTGTAGGGATCTCTTCCGAAGGTACCAAAACGCTCTTATTGGTTTTTAAGCACGATTTTTGCTTCTGATCGGCTGCTGCAACAACTGCTTGTTCACGAATAAATTCACTGAAGCAAGATAAGTGTTCAGAAATACTGTTCGACGAATAGAGGTACATGTAATCATTTATGGAGATGAAATTCGTTCCTGCAAGAAGTGGTCTTATCACCCACTCGCGCTCTTGTGCACCAAAAACTGGTGGAAGGTAGTAAGATATGTCGATCCACGAGGTGTCTAGAGCCCTGTCCTCCAAAACTGCTTTAATTTGTGAAACGGTTGACTCGCAAATTGCGAATCCCTTGGTGTGAATGGCGGAGGGGAAGCGGGAACGAAGGTA